AAATACGCATCAGGCTTGTAAAATACGTATTGCAAAAACGAAAACATTGCATCTATTTTGTTATTTTTAAATAATAATAATGGTCTTTTCCATAAATTTCAAAACATAATGTTAAGATTATTGGATAATATCTTCTTTTTATTTTATTCGTTTAAAAGAAGTAAATACATAATTATTTATATATATATATATTACATTATACATCGTAACCTTGTAAATAGAAAAATTTTATAATTTTGAAATTTTGAGAAAATGTCGTGTGTATAAAAAATTTATATAACAAATAATTGGAATGACACATCTCCTAATATAAAAACCTTTAATTCTGTGCGTTCCAGATTTAATCCCGACTCTCTTACGCTTGATTTTATAAAAGTTTCTAAGAAAGTTTTAAGTTTTAAGTTTTATGAATGAAGTATGAAATGAATTTTAATCCGAGAATAAATTGATACGTACAACAATTATAATTATATATAATGTACAAAATTCTCCTCTATCTAAAATCTCATTTTAAATACACGTCAATTAGTTTGATAATACATCTAACTAAAAATTATATTATTTAAAATTAATCGCGATATACAGAAAAGCAAAACATTGTGTAGTAAAAATTAGAATTCAGAAAATAAAATTAAACTTTCTTTTTAATTTTAAATTTTGAAATCTATGATATTAATGTTATTTATTATTTTAAAATATATATATTATTTATTATTTTAAAATATATTTCGAAGCTTTTGTTCCCTTAAAATAATCTTTGATATTCAGAGAAATAAATTGTGAAATTCGTAAATTTATTACAATAATACGTCTTTGCGCAGGATCATTTTTGAGATTAATGTAAACAAGTTTAATTAATCTACGTTGGAGCAATTTTTCAAATATTTAGCTATCTACTTTATCTTGTTGCGTAGAAGAGACTAATTCTTGTGTAAATTCCATGATTATTTTCTTAATGGATACCACAGGCAAGGGTGGTAACGGTCCAGGATGCCGTTTCCTGTGACAAATAAGTCCGGGTTTTTGCGCAAAGGTGTGTCCGCATATGTCGCAGATGTACGGCTTTTTGCCGGTGTGAATTAATATATGTTGTTCTTGTGCAGTCTTTCGGGGAAAGGTTTTGCCGCAGACTGGACAAGAGAATGGTCGGATACCCTGATGAATCCTCAAATGAAGGTCCAAGTCCCTCTTCTGACCGAAGGTTTTGCCACAGGTAGGACAGATGACCTTCTCCTTTCTTTCATGCCAGATCAAGTGTTGGTCGAGATACTCTTGAGTGGTAAGACCACGCTTGCATATTTTGCATTCGTAAGCCGGTTTATAATGTCGATACTTCATGTGCGCCTTGATAGCGGGAACATTCTTGCAAGCGTGTCCGCAGATGCTGCAGATGATGGGCGGTTCACCACTATGAACTTGATTCATGTGTTGTTTCAGATCGTTTTTTATTTTGAACTGCTTATTGCAAACCGTACAAGAATGCTGAAAGCCGCTAGTGTGTTTCCGTATAAAGTGATCCTTTAAAGTGCATTTGTTGTTGCTCTTGTAGTCACAGATGCTGCATGGATACAGGAGAGGTCCATGAACATTCATGATATGGCGCTTCAATTCTCGCTTCAGGCTAAAGCTCTGGCAACAAGTTTGGCATTGATATTTATGCAAGCTCATGTGTTTTATCATGGTAGCTTTCTGACTAAAACATTGGCCGCATGTGGCGCACTCGAAAGAAAGTTTAGGTTTCTTTTTATTAATTTTGTTCTGACTGATTTTGCTCTGTTTTCTCGTATCTTCTTTTATTTTTCTTTCTCTCCTAGCGATGTATCGTTTGATTTTATTTGGTAATAAGTCGTACTCAGGTAAGCATTCTATGGTTTCGGACAAGTGTTCCACATTATTGGCGTCCATGACCAGAGGATCCACAGGTGAACCACTAAAACATAAATTACGAACAAATTAAATTTGATTACACACGATGCAAGATTTATCTCTGGATATTGAGCTTACTTACTTGAGATATTAAGAGTGTTGAATGATTTCCAGTATTTTTTTACACGAAAATATTTTTAATCTATAAAGAGAATGTAAAAAATATGAAGATACCATAAAATCAAATTTCAAGTAGATCATAATTTACATAATGTAAATTATTTTTAAATATGATTCAACATTAATAAAAAATATAATTAATGATTTAAAAAAATGACATTTACTTAATAAAAATTTTATGATAAATTTTTTAATATAATAAAATAAAAAATATTCAATCCAAAATCTTATTACTGACTGTCAAAAAGTCTTTCAAATGAAAGAAAGTAATATTCTAGATAATTGAATATTATGATTTATACAAAGACTAGTTAATTACGTGTTATACTTGAATATAATATTGATATCATGCATATATACACATATGTAAGATATATGTATGATATATATGTATATATAAATAAAAAATTATGTATTCTTCAATTTCTTTCATGTTATACTCGTTATTGCACATAGGAAATTTAATAATATACAAAATTTATAAAAATCGTAATTTTTATTACAAAATACATACAAAATACAATAGAAAATTGCAAAAAGATATTCATACTTCAAAACTTGACATTAAAAAATGTGCATATATTACGCACGCACATATTCATACGTAGATGAATCAATAAATAACTTTAATT